ATTATTATTATTATTATTATTATTATTATTATTGTTATTATTATTATTATATTATTATCATTTTTATTATAATTTTTGTTTTGTTCTTGTTGTTGTATATACATATTATATACATACATGTGTGTGTGTGTGTGTGTGTGTGTGTGTGTGTGTGTGTGTGTGTGTGTGTGTGTATGTTTGTATGTTTGTTTGTGTGTGAATGATAAATTCACTGTATGCGCCAAACGGATTCGATTTCTTTAAAAGAAATAACTGCTTTAGAAATAAATAGTATTGGACAACACGTCGAGACAGATTGCCCAGATTTGGTCTATTCTTCAGTTCGCATGTTAGTGTTATATTTCGATTTTAGTCTCTTTGGGGAAATAATAATATTATTTTCCCCACGCTCAGTCCAAAATGATCCCTGGAGATAAATTCAGACTAAGACGATCAATGGTTCTTTTCATGACGAAAAATTAGGGATAATGTTCTTTAGGAAAGAAGCCCTTTGACGTAATCGATGTAACAAAAATATACGATAGTAATAATAATATTTCACTCAGTAGCGATTTTTTTTGTTGAGGACAGGGAAGGAGGGGGGAGGGGTATTTTCTAGTGGGGGTTGAGATCCAGTAGAGAACTATTTCAGGATGTTTTTTTGTGAAGGGTTAGATAGCGTTTCTAAAGTTTCTCAAATGCAGTGATCTGATATGTTGAGTATTGTTTAACTATAAAAGAGCTTGCTCTAAAAAAAACCCAAAAAAATGTTCAAATGAGAGATATTTCCTTCACAAAAAGGTGACCGTGAAGGTTTAGAAATGGTGTCTTCTATCATCTCTCTTGGCTGCATTATCGGAGCTGTTATGAGAACAAGTATTTCTTGTAGACATTGTGTGAGCGGATACCATTTGTTGTGAGTGTATCTGGATATATGAGTAAGAAAGAGAGAGGGAGAAGGGAGAGAGAGAGAGAGAGAGAGAGAGAGAGAGAGAGAGAGAGAGAGAGAGAGAGAGAGGTGGGGGAGATGGACAATAGACAATCTACTTAGTATCTCTTGTTTTCAAAGCAGTTTTGCTTTCATTCGCGAACACATGCAAACACTCACAAAATTACACACACACACATACACACACACACACACACACACAGAGAGAGAGAGAGAGAGAGAGAGAGAGAGAGAGAGAGAGAGAGGGGGAGAGAGAGAGAGAGAGAGAGAGAGAGAGAGAGAGAGAGAGACAGGGATCGGACGACAGATACGGAGAGACTGAGAGAGACTGATTCTGAGAGTGTGAAAGAGAGGAAGAGAGCAAGAGTAAAAAGAAAGGAAAGCAATACACTTAAAACATTATTAAAGTTTTGTCGTGCGTGATACCTTTTGTCAGAAAAGATGAAGTTATTATGAGCTGGTCTCATAATCGATTACTCCACAGCTTAATAGCTATCGTTTTAAAAATATCCCACACAGTATCTTTTGAATTTGCTCCCTTTCTTGCCGGTGTAACAAATGGGCAAACGGCGATACCGTGATTCCTATCCAATAACGCCCCAATTATATTCTCAGCCACGATACAGTCGTCGCACTCTTATCCCGAATAAACGCCTCACGTAGCGAGTCAATATTCGGATATCTTTTTTTCCTTTTCAAAATCTTAAAAAATGAGTTTCTTGGTGTAGCCAGAAGAACAATTCTCAGCGAAATCCGAGCGTCCTATTTGCTACTGCTTGAGGGTAGAATTTTTTTTATTGGAAGTGAACGCGAAATCAAATCTCAATGGAATGTACTATCTAAGGAATAGAAAAGTGCAAACTACGCGAGACATCCTAATCTCATTAATCACTTTTGGGGAGACAAATAATGTACTTTAGTTATTTAATCTCAATGATGTTCATACATTTCAGTCTGTAAAATATTCGCATTTGTTCTTATTTGTGAGTCAGTATGTATGTGTATGTCCCAGCCTGTCTGCGGTCGCCGGTTCAGGACAGGATAAAGAATGAAAAAGAGAGAAAGAGAGAGAGAGAGAGAGAGAGAGAGAGAGAGAGAGAGAGAGAGAGAGAGAGAGAGAGAGAGAGGAGGGGGGGATACAGAGAGGTGGCAGCAGAGGATAGTGGGGTAAGGCATTTGTTGCTGTTGCTGTTGTTGTTGTTGTTGGTGGTGGTGGTAGTGGTGGTGGTGGTTGTGGTATTGTTGTTGTTGCTTTAAAAAAGGGATGGGTGTGTAGTGCGAGGGCTGGAAATGTGTCGTTTGTTTTAGAATACAAAGCATTCAACTTTGATTTGTAGGCCTACTGCCTCTGGAAAGCTTGGAAGAAAAGTGGTTTTTCTTTTGGATGGCACCTACTTGAAAGTATGGGCTAATAGTATGT